TCCAGTTGTTGTGAAACAGGCTTAAATCCTTCTAACACAGTTCGCAGACAGCTGCTGCCTTCTTTCTCCAGACAACATGCTTTTATAATCTGCTTTGTTCTCATCTGTGCACAAAACACCAAGTTTTACAGCTTCAGCTTTTAAACCACAGAGAGGCGGCGTTCTTTTACAAGTGCATCTACCTTGTGCTTATTTTAGTTTGTTCAGTCTTCTCTTCAGCTCTGAGCTGAAGTCTGTGACTGCTCTACTGGGGTCCACAGCAGATCCCCTTTGATCACATTTGATAAAATCATTTTTAGAGCAGACCACACCTAACAGAAGACACGAGAAGGAAAGAATCTGGGACTGGTTTAGGTGTGGTCTTTCTCCTAAAACTTTATTATTTCATCCAAATCAGCCTCATGAATAGGACACTGCACTCAAGACCGATGGTCAGTTCATGAATGGGAAACACATGACAGGAATTGAATTCATAACTTAAGTTATTGTCACAAACTGTCTATTAGTCCTGGAGGTTTATTAACTTTTTTAAAAATAATTATGTGACTCTGGGTCACATTATTTCCTGTCATGGTGAAAACTGTGAACCAAACTTCTCATGACTGCCTGATGACTCTGAAGACATCTCTGTTTGGCAGCAGGTAAAACACAAACATCACGAATGAGAACCATTTGATTTCAAGGTGAAATGTTTGAACCAGTTTGAATTTTCTATTTTTTTTTAGCTGTTTTGCTTCACAGTAGTAAAATATTGCCAGTATAAATCGATACAAAAATGATTAAAAAGGAAGATTTAATAACCTAATATTCCATCCATTATCTTTATCTGCTTCACTCCCCGTTGGGGAGTGGTGGTGCAGAGGTTAGGGAAGATGAGTCTGTGATCGAAAAGTTGCAGGTGCAACTCTCGGTACTGTCAACATCAAAATGTTTTGAGTATAATTAAGGTCACATTTATGAAGAACTAAAATATAAACAGAAGAATGGGAACCAGAATGTGCTCGCAAATACAGCCATACAGCAATGCATCACATAAAAACACCATTTCTCTGATCTATTTTAAACAGATGGTAAAAAAAAAGCTGTGCTCTCTGTACTGATCCAATAATCTGCTATTTGCTACTTTTACAACTTAGTGACTTCTAAACTTTTTATGATTTGTTTCCCATCAGGAGAGGAAACAGGAAATGGACTTAAACCAAACTGGAATTGCAGTTTTGGAGCACAACTCTGTCACTAAATGACAGACGACACTCGTCCTTGAAAAGTATTTTATTTCCCACAAAAACACAAAAACAAGCAAAAGCTCTACTTTTTGTTACTTTTTTATTTTATCTTAAAGAAAACATTTTCCTCTAATATTTCTTTCACAGTGCATTTAGAGTTTGTTGCTTCGCAGATGTTCACTTCAAAGTGAATGCAGGAAATGCTTCCAGGCTGCTCGAAAAACAGACAGTAGACTTCCTTGAGTGCTTGTTTTTGTTGTTTGTCTTTTTTTGGTATGCCTTTCACACAAAAAATGGACATGCCGGTAGCGCAGATGCACATATGTTTTCTCTCTGCAGCTCATAAAGTGTTTTTCTGTTACGTCATAACTTCTAGTGGTAAAGCAAGCATTCACATCTGCTCTAAGAGAAGAAACCAACAAAAGCCTTGCATTAAATTGTGCCTAAATGTGTTTAAATAGTCCCTAGACTCTGTGTCATCATGCATGTTGATAAGCTATTTAATCCCACTGTTCTGGTTTATTTCCAACAACGCTGATGGTCACCACTCACATAATTTGCCCTGAATAAAACAAAAGGACACTTATTGTTTAGCAGGTTTCTGAAGCTGGAGGAGAGCTAAAGGGCAAAAGGCAGAGGGGAACACGAGACTTTCATTTGTCAAGTGGCCCCAAAGTAAATAACTCCAGATGAATGTTAATGCTTCTCTACATGTGGAGAATTTGTAAGTAGGTTTGGTGATAAATGAAAAACACAAACTCTGAAAAGGTCTCAAAGAAACAGAAAAACTAGAGATGCAACTGCTCGACCTACTTGTCATCAAGGTGAACAAACACAAGTATCTCTTGCTTTAGTATTAGAATAAATACACATTTCATTTTCAATAAAAATAAATGTATTGATGCGGAATTACTTTGTTTGTCAGTACACTGTCACAGCTGATATTTTATGGAAAAGATCCCTGGTCAATGTGAGGACTTAATCTTAATTCATTTGTTACATTTTTCATTTTAAAATTCCTGCCAGAGCGGCTCAAATCAGGACACGTGTTGTCCACACCTGCTGAACACACAGAACAAATGAACGTTTTAGTTTATTCTCCAACACTTGGGTCACAATCTGTTTATTCTTTGGAGATTGTTTCTCATCAGTTCTGTAATTTCATTCAAATTGAAACAATAGATAATATGCACTGTGCCAGAACATTATAAAACTTTAACCTCACTCTAGTTTGGAAACACTTACGGCCCAATAATTTGTAGGTTAAAAAAATAAAAAATCTCCTGATTGTGACAGCTGTGCTTAACACTTCCCCCAACCGAGCGTCCAATAAAGGCAAACTATTACAGAGCTTGTAGGATAATTGGAAAAATACTTTTTTAATACAAGCAAACACATAATTCAACAATTTTCAGTCAGGTCATTTGGACAGTTTCTCTTATTTTGTGGTGAAACGTTTCACCTTCCATCCAGAAGGCTTCATCAGTCAAGGAAACACACAAAACAAAACTGATTCTTCCCCCAACAGCTTACTCCAAAGTGGAACAAACCAGTTATGTTGGTGCTAAGATGGTCTCTTTGGCACGCCCCCTCCTTTTGTGCCGGCCCTCTTCCTCGTCGACGATCATATCAAACTGGTTCAAAACCAAAAAATATTTAATATTAAATATTTACTGCTCCCCAACAAGATAACATATTTATCCATTGGTTCCCTGTAAAATCCAGAATTGAATTCCAAATCTTACCTCTAACCTGCAAAGCTCTCAACAACCTAGCTCCATCTTATATTCAATATATTATTGTTCCATATTTTCCAAACAGAGCACTTCGCTCTCAGACTGCAGGTTTCTAAAAGCAGAATGGGAGGAAGATCTTTCAGTTATCAGGCTCCTCTGTTGTGGGACCAACTTCCTGTTTCTGTCTGTGAGGCTGACACATTGTCCAGTTTTAAAACTGGGCCTAAGACTTTCCTTTTTGATAAATCCTATAGTTAGAGTTGGCTTGTTATGCTGCTATAGGCTTAGACTACTGGAGGACAAATTGACCTCATTTCCTTAAATGAATTGTTAAAATTGAATAGTTTTATTTCATATTATTTCTATCTCAACATGTGATTCTTGACCTGCCATTGTGTATCTGTTCCTCCTTCCTGTTCCTCTCAAACCCAGCCAGTCAAAGCAGATGGCCGCTTGTCCTGAGCCTGGTTCTGTTAAAGGTTTCTTCCTCAGGAGGGAGTTTTTCCTTTCCACTGTCACCTTCATGCTTGCTCAAGATGAGAGTTCGGTGGTGGAGTTAAATTCAAATCAGTCTGCTCCTCAGATAAATAATGTTAAATTATTATTTTATATATGTGAATGTTTCTGTTCAGTGCCCTGAGATGACCTCTGTTGTGACTTGGCGCTATGTAAATCAACTGAATTGAATTGAATATGAATGTTGTGAAGTGTTAAATTTGTCAATTTTTCATGTTGCACAAAGTTTCACAAACTGAAAAAGTAAACACTATATGAAATATATATAGGGTATGTTGCCAATTCATTGTAGTTCATACTGCATATCGCCTTTTTCTTATTATTAATGTAGCCAATTATTGTTCAATCATTCGAGGTCTTTTCTTGTTTCGGATTCAATCAGTTCTGTTGGACTTTGACTCACAACATGAAGTCTTCTGCTTCATGCGGTCATAATTACACTCGTTCCACAGCTAAAGGAAGCAGGGAGGCTGCAGGTGGGAAAGAACGAGAACTGCTCAGCAGGCAGTAAGGAACCGTGCACTGAAGGGCTCCGGATCAGCCAGCCGAGGGCCACCAGCAGCAGGCCTAATTACAGGCTGAACATGAATAATAATAAACCAGTGCTCTGTTGGTCCGAGGTCTCTTCGCCTGGCCAGTCTGAGTCAGATTTCCCTCAATGCTCACTGAGAGTGATGGATAGCCTGCAGCACGGACCACACAGCAATCTTAAGACATGACCTTTGGAGCTTTTTCATGTGATGCTTTCAAGGAGAGGATTTTCACATGATACACTAAAGCTGCTTTGTGTCATTTATTGATTTAAATATAGTGTTTGCAATTTCCATAGGAAGCAGATATTTGTTGCTGATAACTGTGTGAACGGTACCAGGAGATATGAGGAGAGCCTGAGAGTGATTCCTTGTTGATGAAAGCTATTTCCCCCCACACACTTCCCGCACATCCAGGGACGCACCTTTACATTTGAATTACTCTTGACAGGCTGGATCCTTCTTATTTCTTGTTTAATAAAGAAAACAAGAGGAATGCAGCTCCCCCGGGGTGAGCACAGGCACCCGCACCGACTTCAAGAGCAGAGCACACTTCATTTATTTTCATTCTGCTGGCAAGGTGAGCAGAAATGAGGTGATGAAGCCGCGGGAGTCCGAGGAGCTGTCCAGATGCTGAAAGAGCTCGTTTCACGAGCTGCAGTCTGGAGGGACCGCTGCGGTTTGTTGCGTTTGATTCATTTCCATCATTAACTGGAGGAGTTGATTCCAGGGGAACTCTCTTTGGTTTTTAAGCAAAACGGAAAGGACACTGTTTCATTTGAGTGAAATATTATTTTGATGCATTTATGTCTCTCCTGATTAGAGGATGAGTGGGTGGAGTTTATTGCTTTTACTTTTGGAAGCGGCTCCGACAGAAGAGGCTCAGTCTTTGCCTGGAGAGCAGCTCAGGTGGCGGTGATGCGTCCTGGCACGTGATCCCTCCTCAGTTCAAGCAGTCGCCCCCCACCCTCCACCCCTGCAGCCGCCTCCAGCAGTCAACTTTCCATGCTGCTGGCCGTCCAGCGGACTCCGTCTGCGGGAGGTTCGTCTGGACCGTGTCCGCCTCAGCTCGCGCGCTCCGGTTCTCCACCCTCAGCTGGCTCTCCGGGTTCAGGAGGGGAGCTGGCCCGGCTCTGCCGCGCGCATGGAGGGGGACGTTATGGACAAGGTGGAGGCCACGGCCACGGTCTGTGACTTCGACCCCATGAGTGGGAGCATCCCTGCCACCAAGGTGGAGATCACCGTGTCCTGCAGGTGAGTCCACGCGGCGCTACGCGCGTGAGAGCGTTTGGCGAGCACCGCGCGTTTTTTTGGTTACACTGTACTGCAAGAGACGCTCAGAGCATCATGCGCACGGGAGCACCATTTCATGTGACATTGTTTCATAAGACAAGACTTGTTTTATTGCGCCGTGTCGTTGCGCGCACACGCAAAGCTGCATACAAACGATGAACAAACAATAACTCAAACAGTGTTTTGTCAGGAATATTATAGTCCCAAACGACAAAAACAAATTTGTCCAACTAAACTTTTGCGCCTTTTTTTTTTTTTTTTGTTCAATCATATTTTTTGGTGTCAATTTCCTTCATCGCCAGGTTGCTGTGAGCTGCAGTTTGCGCGCGTGCCACGTCGCGTGCTTAGCGCGCAAAACGCATCCATCCTCATATTTATTACCAAGGGAGGTTTCCCCCTGAGTCAGTCAGGATATCTTACAGCTTTCTGCGCTGGTAAAAACGACACGTGTTTGTTGGTGTGAAAGGAAACATTTTATTTAGATAATATTTGGATCAATCATGCAAAGATTGATCTGATGAGGTGAGAAAACCTCGGAGAGAGTCGCAGGACCAGGGCGGGGCAGCTGCAGGTCAACAGATGAGAGGTTTGATGCAGAAGGAGGTCTTTTTATGGCTCTTAGAGTTATGGCTAATTTATCATAGTTCTACACTAATAAGCTCTCCAATTCATTCATTCATTCATTCATTCATTCATTCATTCATTCATTCATT